GCTTTATGCTTGACAAGTCACTATTCAGAGGAGGGAAACCAAAAATACCCTATCTGTGTAATAATATTATTTTTTTGCAATAGCAACATATTACAATTTGCTCTAGGATGTTGTTACAAATTGCGTAAACGGAAGATTATTACAAAATGCTACAGCCATCATTACCAAATACGTTACTCGCCTTAAATACAATAAGATATTGCAGTGTGTATTACAAAATGAGTAAATTATTACAATATGCCGAAATCATTATAACAAAATGTGTACGTTTCCTCTGCCAGTTTCTCCCTAAATAACTTTCTTAGTTGCTAGTACTCTAGTGAATCTTTGAAATTAGTGTTAAGGTTGAAGATTATTTTTACTATCATCTCACAGTTTTTTCACCGGGTTAAACAAAGGAGATAGCAAAGCCTTGTACTAATATGATATCTTGTAAAAAAAAAAACTACGCGCGTTTCATCGTTGGTGATATGACTTCTCTCTTCTGTCGGTGGTTTCTCTTTTAAGAAACAGAAATGAGGAAACAAAACGGAGAAGATGTTATGATATATTTTATGGATTTGATTATTGTTATTACCAATGTTATTATTTTACTGATCAGGGTCATTATTTGTCTTCATTCGGGTTATTTTTCTCCTGTCTTTGTTTTACAGGAATTTTTTTTTCGGTTTCTTTATTTTAGTTTCGTACACGGTCATAAGAATAAACACCAGAAATATCACGATTTATAAATTTTTTTAAATTTTATTTCGATCAAAACCGCTTTGTGGAAAAAAAATTATTCCAGAGTATTCCGAAATTCAAAAAATGTCATAGTCGAGAAAGATTCGATTTTTTTCATTTTAGTATATTTAACAATTATTCCACGAGCGCGCGTTGGATATGAGATGATAGATAGCCAACGAGGCGAGTAGCGCTGAGTTGGCTATAATCATCTCATATCCAACAAGCTCGAGTGGAATAATTGTTTTATTAAAAACGCGCCCAAGATATTAGACAAATCTTACCAAATCTTAAATTTTTTAGCGCCCTTTTAATTTTAGTCCGACGCGTACGCTTACCATATTTGTAGATTATGGCATATTGGCTCATATTTCATAATGGGCAAGCCAATAAAAAGTCTTGAATTTTATTATCCAATGATCCAGTTTTTAATAAATATATATATAAGCTAAATCATGTTTGCTTTTATGCTATATCTTTTAACTTTGGTAGAAAGAACTCCTAACTCAGACATATATTAAGCTACAAAGTGCAGTTTAGGTGGGGACTCACTTGTTTTCATCATAAACTTCTTTGCACGACCTCAGTGCTACAAAAGATGAAATAGAACGTCGTTCAAATAAGTCACCTCTGTCTCTGTATGAGAACACTTGTTTAGTAAATATTGAACTCATAAAAAATTTCAGGTACATATGCTTTTTTAAATCTCGGGTTGTTTAATTTTAGTGGAAAACTCACCCGTTTGGCAACGAAGCCCTGCGTATCCGGCTTCGCAACTACAGACATAACCATTGACTCGGTCAATACACGTCCTTCCATTCCAACAGGGACTACTGGCGCATTCATCGATATCTGCAGATAGTATTACGAAAATTCAAACTTTTTGTGATTGATTTTCGAAATTAGAGAAAGAACACATAGGCCGACAAACAAAGCCGGAGCAGCTCAAAAACAAACAAGTGTAGTATTCACAACCGTTAAGCTTGATTCTGAGAAAGACGAATTCGCGATGGGGTTAGTTTATAATGCCGCATTGATTAACTTGCATAGCCACGCTTAAAAGCAAAGGAAAATAAATTTCAACGAAAATACCAAGCATAAATTGAGATGTACAAAATCATCACACAAGAGGTTAAAAATGAACGTAATAGGATGATTAACTGAGGTCAAAAGATGTTATTCTTTACTTCTACGAAAGCATGGGATGTGAAATAGGATCGGAAATGATTGAAACTCCTTTTCGGGTTATAGAAATGAATTTTATTTAATTGAAAGAGGTTCTGATGATAGAGGTCTAAACTTACGTGTGAAAGGGCACATTTCAAGACCTCTGGTTTAAGAAACGCGAGCACGGACAATGGCTATTTATATTATGATACCTGTTTCACAATGACTTCCTCCATAACCAGGAACACAATCCCATTGGTATTTGTTGGCATGGTAACTGGGCACGCAAGTCGCATTGTTGTGACATGGAAACCTTGAGCATAGCGTCTGCAAAAAAAAAATCTCCTTTTTATCAGGATCCGTTGGTAACAATATTTCTAATATCCTTTTTGAATCTCTTTTGTAGCGGAAAAATACACCATTGATATATTTGCAATTTTGCAGATTAGAATCATGTAGATTATTAATATTTTTTCAAACATCGTGAGCGTCAGAATCACAATAAATACTCTCTTTATTCTAACCTTTATGCTGTGGTGGTGATAGTCCTTTGAGCTGGTCAATTACCCTGAACTCTTAGAATACTTCTCTTCGCTAAGCAGCTCACAATTAAAATTTCCGTCAGCTCTAGGAGACAAGGCAACGTTATACGAAGAACAAGGCGGATTGTTCACACAACCTAAAGCACATTCTTCGTAATTCTCCACAAAGATCAAAGCACTCAATGTTGCATAAAGACGATGGAACTTGTCAATCGCAAAATTTCCGTACGAAGTTCGATCTTTCAGTCTTTGTAACAGAGCTCCCCGCTGTAAGCCACCTCTGCCGTCGATTTCAATTTTGGCCTTGACCTCTTTGGCAATGGCAAGCAACAGAGCGAAATTGAAAAACATCTCACCGTTAAGTAAAATGTAAAATATATTTGAAGATTGAAATTTTTTTATCACTCTTCTTTTCCGAATAGTCCCTTATCGCTTTATCTCAAAGTAATTAAATTCCCTGCTTTGAAAATATTAACTAGCCAAAACTCACGACAATAATATGGCAAATTCTAAACTCTGATAGGACAACCTACAATTTTGTTAATTAGATTTTGCCCCATAAGCTGGCGGTATATGTCATCCCAAAGGTTTTATTTAGGCATCTATCAGATGTAATAAAAAGGAATGATAACAAAGCAATGGTATACAGCCTGAAAGTGAATGTTATCGTGAATAAATTTGTTGATCGACATATATATATAATAATATAATAATAATAATAAAATATTTATATAGCGCCTATCCTTTTCAGTGCTAAGCGCTTTACAATGCTTTAAAAAGGACTAAAATCGTATACCTATACATACATATATATACATAATAACAAAATTACAATATGGAGAACCTAGGATAGTTCATAAACTTACTTAAAAAGAAAGGTCTTCAATCTAGATTTGAACTTGTTTACATCGTCGATTGATCTAATCTCAATAGGTAAATCGTTCCAAAGTATAGGGGCAATAACTGAGAAAGCCCTTGAACCGTATGTCTTTAAGTTATAGGGTTTGATAATAAGACGCCACTTGTCTGAAGATGAGCGAAGGTACCTCGTAGGTTCATAAACATGAATTAGGTCAACCAAATAATCAGGAGCTAAATTGTTGAGTATCTTAAAACAAATAACATTAATCTTAAAGATTATTCTTTGCTCCACCGGCAGCCAGTGCAGCTCCTTTAGAGTATCGCTTATATATGTGATCAAACTTACTTAAGCAAGTAATCACACGTCCTGCAGCATTTTGGACACATTGCAGTTTGTTAATTTCATACTTGGGAAGACCATACAAAAGTGAGTTGCATAGATCCAGCTTCGAATTTACAAATTCGTGTACAAGAACTCTAGCTGTTGTGACATTGATGTATTTACGCATCTGAGCTATATTTCTTAGGTGGTGGAATGCCCCTTTAACTTTGTTGTTAATATGAAAAGACATCATTACGGTGTTATCGAAAATGACGCCGATATTACGCACCTTATTTGTAGGCTCGATGATATCAGTTCCTATTTTAATAGAAGGTAGCCGTGGGGGCGGTCTGAACTTAGAATGGAGAATAAGAAGTTCGGTTTTATCAGTATTTAGTCTCAGTTTGTTAGTAGTCATCCAGTTGGTGATATCAACAAGACAGCTTTCAATCCGGGAAATTGTAGTGGTAAGGTCATTCATATCATCGCAACTGAAGGTGGTGTTTAGTTGAGTGTCGTCAGCATATAGATGGAAGTCTATGTTATGGCATCTTATTAGGTCACCTAGTGGGGCCGTGTACAAGAGATACAGTAACGGACCCAACACGGACCCTTGGGACACGCCAAATCTGAGCGGACGAATTGAGGAAGTAAATCCATCAATCTGAACAAACGGGGAACGATCCATAAGATAAGACTGAAGCCACGAAAGTGCTTTACCTTTTATACCAAACCTGGAACGCAGTCTGTGTAATAGGATCTCATGGTCGACAATGTCGAAGGCTGCTGATAGGTCTAACAGCAAGAGAACAACACATTGTTTATCATCGATTGATTTCAGAATATCATTTCTAACACGTAGAAGCGCTGTTTCACAACTATGATGTTTCTTGTAAGCAGACTGGAGACTTTCATTCAGATCATTGTCAGACAGATAATTCGTCAGACGTCTGGCTGCAGCTTTTTCAATAACCTTAGACAAAAAGTTCAGGTTAGATACAGGTCGAAAGTTAGAAAAGAGTTCGAAGTCTAGAAAAAGAGTTCGACATATTAGGCTTTACAAAACCTGCGTGCTCCAGATTTTGAAATTGATAAAAATGATCGTTGATTTAATCTAAAACTTTGAATCTGACTGGCTTATTGATTGTCCCATGGCAAGTTGCCTGATAACAACTTGGCAAGTGAATTAGTAGAATATAGGAGTTTTTGAAACCAATTACAATCAAAGAAACCGCAGTTTTTTATGATTGTGCATGAAATAATCTTAGCTAAGTTTTTTGTTGTGTTTTTGAAGAAACAAAACAAAACAGATACTGCTGGACTTAATGTACTGGCTGTCGTGGATTTTTTTTCCTTGTTGGCGCCGAATTCTTAGGTTTTGGCTCGAAAAAAGATGAAAGAGACCTTTACTGAGCTGCGAGCTTTCAAGGTCTCGCAATCAGTTTTGTTGTCAGAGGCAGCGATTTTATCTTTTTCTTGGGCAATAGTAATTCTAAATGCGTATGATATTTGCATACATTTGACTCTAGAATGGCGAGCAGAATTTTGTAATTAAGGTAAACTATTTTAATTAGTTCATAACCTCAGAATAGCTACAGAATAATGAATTTTCAGCGGTAGTATGAACATTTCTATACTGATACGCAAGCAGATTTTGTTGGTACAACTGTTGGGGAAGAAACTATGGTTACAACTTGTGAATTTCTGAGGAATAATGTTTCAAGTTCTTACATACTTCCTCAACAAATGTCAAGCAACAGGTTCCCGTCAACGGGCAAAGATATTTTATTCATAATCTTTGGTATCTTGATTTCAGAGAAATGGAATGGAATATATCTTTTAGGTGAACTTCTATCGTGCCATTCAAAATTTCGCAGCCACCTTGTTGACCCCAAAATGTGAATTTTTGCCATAAGCCTATTTTCCTAAGCGATCTGGTTGGTCGGTCGGAAAAGCTTTTTCAATACATGCACAAGATCTATTGATCAGGAAAAGAAGTAAAGGAGTAGTGTCACATGCTATTTATTGATTTTTTTTCTTTTTCCGCTGCAATTTTCAAGGGGGTCAGGACTAAAACACTTTATTTTCAATAGTGAAAACAAATTTTGTTGCAGCGTGAAAGAGAAGTCCTTTTATTTCCGTTTACCATCATCTGGTAGAAATATAGCGTGCAGTAAGTGATAAAACCTTCTCTTTTCTTAGATTAACCACTTCGTAACTAAGATATGTTGGGAAAAAAGAAAAAGAAAACTGCACTTGTTGGGATTGTTACGGTGTATTGAGAATGCCATAAGCGTGTCAACTTTTCAGCATGGCCATGTCACTGCACCAAAATGTATCCCATAGCTTTGATATGTCTGCTTCCGTTGTCTGAGGTAGCTGAAGCTTCGTTTCCACAGGAGTTGTTTTCGTCAGGAGATCCTGCGGTACCGAATCCAATTCGTGAGTCGCAGCTATCACAACCATCAGATCCTTCGTTGCCAAGAATGCCGATTCTTGCTTTGGATCGGAAAGACAGAGTACTTTCAACATTGAAGCCCTCTTTGTTACAATTTTTCTGTAAGGAGGCCTGTGAACCAATAAGTTTTTTCCAAGTCTCGCGACCCAGTGAGGTAGGTATATAGCTTCCGTCAGCGATCAATGAGAACAAGGAGCTCGCTTTTTTGTTGATGACAATAAAGTTCGTCTGTTTGCCAATTTTCATACCGAGACAGATTTTGGAGAAGGGCGTTTTCCAGTAGGTTGATAACTTGGTCTCTCGCGAGTCAAAGCCAGTCTCTCCTCCAAGAAGATTATATACATTTTTGTTGCTCCAGTAACTTGCGTTGTAGCCAAAAATGGTCTAACAAAAAACGGGTGTATTTGTTTTAATTAACATCATATGAAATTGCGCCTTTCTATGTTAATCTCTTTATATGTACCTTGCTGCCATCAATCTTCATGACAGGTGTCCATCCTCCATCTCCACATCCGAAATCTTCCATGTGACAGAAAATAGAAGCTGGTTGTGTGTTTGCAAATAAAGTTACAACTTGACTCACATTCGACCTACAAGATAGTAATTGGGGGTTAAGTGCAAGTCCGAAGTTAATTTGTATTTCACTTGGTTTAGCAAAGAACTAAATCGAAAAGCGCATAAAAAAAAAAAAAATGACCAATCTCCGGGCCAGTTGTTTCTGAGGTGCAAACCATTCACTTAAACAATAATCCCTCTCAAGTTTAAAAATTATGCTTCGAAAGGAACCAAACGTGTCGAAACCAAACTTAGCATATCAACCCAGACCTTGTATATCAAATGTGTCGATAATGCTAAATAGCATGGGATAAAAAAAAAGTCCGAAATGCCCTAAGCAGTTAAAAAAACCATACAAACCGTACGGTTGTTATATACTTGCTTTTCCGAGAAAATTTCAGCAAAAATTGGAATGACTTTATCCTCATGCTCTTTTGTAGTCTTACATTGAAATCTTTTAATAGGCAGGTACTTCCAAAGTATACCAAGGAAAATTATCTTTCTTTGAGGAAATTATGAATGAAATTCACAAACAATTTAAGTGGATGAAACCAACAGCCTCGATTTCTACTGGCGGCTTTCTGCTACTCAGAAAATCCCTTAAGTCAATTGAATTTTTGTTGTGAGAATATCAGTATGATCTGTAGGAATAAGCAGTTTCTGCTCAAGTGAATATTCCAACTTTTTCGGAGACAAGATACATGGCCGGAGCTAATGGATTTTCTGCGGTTTACCATAAAATGGTAAAGCTTAATAATTTTTTTCTGTTTCAGATTATCAAAACCAATTATTGAAATTTACCCCACATGAGGGTGTTTTACAATTAAAAGCAGCAAACCAAATCGTCAAAAATCAGAAGTATATTACTAACCTGTACAAGTCATAGGCATCTTTACAGGATTTGAAATCTGCGAAATAGTTATTTTAAAACAGGCTTTAAATGAACTTTATAATTTGGATATATCAACAAAGTTGAAATGGTAAATTGGCCACCGTAATGATTACAAAAGCTGACGTTTCGAGCGTTAGCCCTTCGTCATTCGCTCCGACGAAGGGCTAACGCTCGAAACGTCAGCTTTTGTAATCATTACGGTGGCCAATTTACCATTTCAACTTTGTTGATATATCCAAATTATTTCGTTACTCTCACCGACGCAGCCCCAAACAGTTTCTTTCGAAACTATCAGCCTTTATTCATTTAAATGAACTTGTTTGTTATTATTTTTTAGAGCTATCTATTAAATTTACTATATAAGACCACTCAACTTCTATTGACGCACGTTTCCATTTTGCAAAATGATTTTTAAACTGGCGCGACTATTACACCTTGCTTTCTAGCGATAAAGAAAGCACATTTCATCGGGAAGGCTATTTTTTTAAATCCTTTTCTTTCCCCCTCTGTCCATTGTCAATACGTTCTAGAGGCGCCTCTAGACTGACCTTAATCTGTTGGTAAAAGGTCTGTCATCTACATTGTTTTTTCATACGAAAGCAAATGAGGGAACGTAGGGATGCGTGAACACGATGCAACTCTGGTTTCAATGGTTCAGTGTCTCCTTGTGTCAAAATAGAGGAAATATACTGTTTCCGTAGTATTCTTCAAAGTCTCAGTATCTCCTTAGGTCAAAATAGCAGACATTTACCGTTTTCGCAGTATTCTCCATAGCTAGCGTTTGTACAATGGCATTTCCAGGCACGAGTTCTCTCATTTGCGATGCAGGTGCCTCCATTTTTGCATGGCAAAAATATGCAAGGTGACTGAAATGAAGTGAAAGGGGATTAATACAAATAAAATGGTGCTTGGGAATATGCCCAGGGATCGAGATAGTCGATAGAATTCCTCTTTTATGTTACTCATGTCTTGCCACCTGGAACGTCAGACTCGCCAGGTTGTCAAATGAGCATAGACATATCTAGATTTTGATATATCCTAGTTTTCCCCGAGGGTTTTGAATTAGGGCAACAAGGTTGATTCATTGCTACTGAGAAGCCTTTTGTTTCGTTGATACCCGATAACAGAGAACCATATCTGGTTGAAAACAGAACTCACCAGCATAGTAAGATGATGCGAGCTCTTATTCTTCCCATACTCCGTGTAGTTTCTGTACTTATCAGATGACAGTAGCTCGCACCAAATTTTTCCATTGGCACTTTTAACGACGGCCATATTTATTGAGAAGCACAAGGTAATGTCAAGGCAATTTAAGGCACAATGTAAATCATTATATGCAGTAAATTCTGCAACTCGAGGCACCCTCAAGTAATGGAACTCGTCCAAAGAAAACAGGCTACTTTTATAAATCTGCAATGGAGCTGTTTCCAAACCTTTTTGTCCGGCTAAAAAAGATCGATAAGTATTTTTACAAGTAAAACTAACAAATTAATGCTAATTTAAAAATTCTCTACCAGGTCTGAGACAAAGACTCCCTCCGGTCCCTTCCCCCCCCTAAAAAAAAAATAATAATAATAACTACGTAAATAAAAAAGGTTTAGCATATGTCCTTACACTTCAACTGTACTTTGACAGAACATTTCCATGAGTGAAAAAATGAATTCACGAGAAAATTGAACTAAAAGGGATTTTTATGCAAATCAATGTAAAGTTTTTAATCTAGATGTGGACAGCTGCTGTGTACATAGAGAAATTTATTAATGCCAAGGCATCTGACTTTATTGAAAATGACTGGTATGACTTCCTCTGTCTTGCTTTCCAAATGATGATACACCGGTGAAAAAAGGATTTTCATCCATTTAATGTTAGTCTAAGAAGATCACTATGACACGGAATGTGTCCTCAGTCTTGGATCTAAAATAATATGATTTCGAAATCTCTACGTTGGACGTTGTTTGACCAATAATTCGCTTTCTGTTTATTGCTTCGAGAAGAAAAGAAAATAATAGCGATTTTGAATCGATATGCAGACCTTAGAAGATCAAGACTTTCCTTGCGTAGCAAACGTCGAGTGAAGTTTTGAAATATAGAAACCAAGAGAGGAACACTGAATTTCGTTCTTTCTTAGTAAACTGTTTAAAAAATGTAGTTATTAAGACGCAAACAATCACAAAAGCAACTGAAACGAAGCTTACCTTGAACAGAGATAATTTGAATAGACTTAACGAAGAATAGGACTAGAAAATCAGTAATTGAATAGCCAGCCATAAGGAAAGCGAAATCCTCGAGAATCGCTTCGAGGATTTATACGATACACCGCTCTAGGAGTAAACTAACTTAACCGACCGGTTTCACTTCCAGTTCAGACGGGTTTGCAAACAGATATTTGAATGAAAATTCTTCTGTCAATCATCACATCTCTCCTTTGTTATATATATATGTTATTTACCAGGCGGGACGGGTTCCTACTGGGAAAAACTGTCCCCGAAGTTTTGGATACCTCCCGAGGCCGCAGAACATCCTCCATAAACTGAACAATTTTTTAGCGAGTAGATGATAAAGAAACAAAGGTTCAATTCACATCAATAACTATTTATTAATACAAATGAATAATAACAAAAGAAACAGATGATTAATAAGAGCATTCTATTACTACGTTAACTCGGTGACGAAGGTCCACTTAAACCACTATGCTCTACATAGTACTTCAGTAAGGCATGGATACATTTTTGGCTTCACAAGCTTTGTCCCAAGGCAGTTAAGAACTTAAATGTAATCAAATTTCATAATGTACATAGGGAAGAAGATAATATTTCACCATCGAAAAAGCAATCATGAAGCCACGTCTCAGTAACAGCGACGACGTCTAAGTTGTTGCCATAGACTAGCCGCTGGAATTCCGCTAATTTGTTGCAGAGAGAGCGGCTGTTCAAGAGTACACAGTTCAACTTTGAATTGATTGTGGTGCAACTTGAATTTAAAGCAGCTGGACCTGGATTAAACTCGAAACCTCCGCTTAGAACTATCCGTAGTTTATGAAAACGGCTAACAGAGTTTGAATAATAACTAATCCTGAAGGAAATGAACTTGTGTTTACGATGCGTGTTGACAACAAGATGGCGCCGTACACCTTTCGACGATGACAAGGGAAGGAGGAGAGTTATCACATATTCTGTAACGTACATGTCGGTAACTTCATGACCAAAGATGAAAGAATCGTGGCGACTTAAAAACAGATCACTTTTAACGCTCCAAGATACTACATAAAACCCAATAATAAGATAACGGAGCACAGAAAAACGTGCCCGCCGACCATGATGTCCCAAGAGATGAAATGACGGCTCTTAGAGTGAAAAATTCTACTAGTCTGCTACTAACCGTTAAATTGTGGATTAAAATGCGATTTAAACTGGGTGACAAACCACCTTATAAAATGGCCCAAATCATTCTCTATTAATCGGGCTCAAGGTGGTTTCAAATGAAGCAGTGAACTTTACTCACACACATCACTCTGAAAATGTATTTTTTTAATTGTAAAAAGTTAAAACGGTGCTTTCTGTTACCCAGTCACTATTATAGGTTGATGTAAGATCTGTAGACGAAATAAAGAAATCCATCTTATTATCGAACTACACCTAGACGAGTACAAATAACGCCATAGACGAGTACAAATATCACGCGATATTTGTGCTCGTCTATTGTAGTACCGGTTAAAC